AATGGACTTCTGGATTTGCCACAAAAGTTTTAAAACATGTTGTGATGGAGGGCATCGAGAATGACCTTTTTGGTTTGTGGTTAGGTTAGCAAATTAAAACAATAGCAGGGTGTTGGGCAACAAACATCATGAGAAGTTTTAGTCTAGTGAGAGGGGCGAGAAATCCAACTGCTTCACACAGCAATGAAAAACATGAGTTTGATTCCAGTCTTTATTGTAACAACAGGAACAGAGCTTGGTTAATGTGCTCATTTTATTGCTTTTCAACACATCCCGGAAAGAGGACAGCAGTCATACTTAGGGATATTATAAGCAGATGATTCAATGGAAGTTTACAAAATGTGACTACATGAAGAAGCAAACAAAATGAACACAAACATAAAATGATAAATCTAACAACCAAATTTGACATACAAAAGCAGCCTAGACTGAACGTTGTCATTAAATTTGGTCAACTATACAAACATTGATTTCAACTTAATTCAAGATTATTTTGTATCAAATGGTTTCACACATTTATATTTTACATTTGCATCCATTTCTACATAAACATTATGTGTCAAGCATAAGCTGGGAATTGTGACCTTACATTTCCCGCTCTTTCTGAACTTGAAAACAAAACATGTCGTATGTGGCTTATCTGCCCTCTGATGCTGTATAGCTGCACGTCTGACACCGCAAACCTTATAGCAGTCAGCTTCTTCCAGGCAAACTATCTACGCACACATGTCGACAGAGCTGTCCGCTACGGGCCTCTACTGCTGCAATCCTCCCTGGCTTACAGACGTCCTAACTACTGTTTCCAAAACAAAGGATGAATGAACCCTGGGCATTCAACGTGGCCGTCGTGTTTTGGCAGTTCGAGACATACCAGCGGTCTGATTGGTGATATGCGCCAAACCGGGCAAGCTGCTGGCAAGTTTGGCCAGCCCGCCATTGGTGAGCAGCTGATGGATGGCGGTGGTTTTAGCCACTCCTGTGGTGACCACAGGCACCGCCCGGAGCAGAGTACTGCTGCTGGTACTGACGGAGCTCAGGACCTGACCCTGGGGCTTGCCACAAACCACCTGAGGGTGGAGGAGGAGGATACACACAAATAGTTTAAGGTTTAGTCATACATGTAAACAACAACAGCCTTTCTTCTTTCATCTTTTAATCCCACCAGTAAACTTTTGTAACATGCAGTATTTACTAACTAGAAATTGGCTGTCAGTCTAGCAGACATAATTCCTTTGTGACTGGAGTTTAAAAAAGCAGAACGTCCACTGTGGTCATTCAAACTTTCACATAATGTTACCATGTAACCAAGATGTACCTGGGTGTTGGCTGCTGTGGACGGCAAGCTAGGAGTTTTGGTGACGATCTCCTGAAGACTGAAACTTAGGCCTTGTAGCAGACTGCTGGCGGAAGGTGCTGCAAACAAACACCAATGCAGTAAATAAATGGAGATTAAATTTGGGTGAAATCAAAGCAATAGGAACACAACAACTCCTGCTTTTACAAACTGCTCCCACCCAATCCCCCTGCAGGCCTAAACTAGATGGACACACACACGCGCGTGCACGCACACACCTCCCCCCCCACATGAAAGTCATGTCCAAAGGTTAAGTTCTGGGACTGTGACAAACAGCGATGGCGCAAGAGGTGATCAATGATGATGTTTACTTAATTATGTTGTCCTCACACACTGTTCCAGTGTTCAAAACTTTAATCCCACTCTACAAAGCTGTTACAACTGCACTGTGTGTTGAGGCAACTGCGCTGAGATTAGCTGCACAGTTTAAAGTGCAAACAGGCGTGCAGGGCAGGACAGGACAGAGATACCTTGGGCAGTAGCCGGAGCTTGCGCCTGGACTGGTGCGGAGGACCCTGACACCATGCAAGGCTGCACGCTGTTGAATGAGCTGGAGCCTGGGGACAGGGCACCAGACACCTCTGAGAGACTACCAGACCTGCAGTGACACACATAACCACCAATCTACTCAGGAGCTACCCCAGCAATTGCTGTTTGGCTATCACTCAGCTCCCAAACTCTGAGTACACCACTCATCAATCCCTCTGCACCAGACACACTTTTGTCCAATAGGGCGGCAGTGGGAGTGGGTGTGGGTGCAGGCATGATTAGGGGTTTAAGCGCTCTATACTGAGTGTGCCTGTGTGTAGCACAACAAGCTAGCTTACCGATGGCCTGTTAGAAGTCCCGAGAGCTCCTTAGCTCCAGCAACAGTCTGCCCCACTGTCACGGTTAAGGGCTTCCCAGAGACACCCACTGCATGGAAAAAAGGATCATATCATGGTGGTCAGTTATTTAACTTGGTAATATACATGGTTCTACTTTCACTTTAGCGAAGCAAAAACACATTTTTCTTTTCATTCTATCTAGAGATCTGTATGAAGGTTAACTGCTCAAATCTTCTGATTCTTCCCATCATGTCTGCCCACTGCTGATTTTATCAATCCACAAGAAAACAAAGAACAGTATCTGTTTACTCTGATCATACTAACAAAAAAGCCCAGGAAAACTTTCTCAATGTTTAAATAAAACAGAATGACTCCTCTAAAGTATTTACCAAGCGGCTACTTCTAAAGTCTCAAATGTAAGTAATGGTACAAGGTTTTGTACCTTCCTGTGGAGCAGGTTGATGGCGCCCCCTGCTGACTCGCTTTGGGAAACAATGGTGACCTTGATCTTGGCTCTCTTGGAGGCTTTGCTTGGTGTGGGACTGGGCGTCTGCCTCCTCTTGCCATGGGACCTCAGTTCATCTCTGTCCAGGCCATCCATCTGATCACTGGTTACCGGCACTGCATCACACACACACACACACACACACATAAACACAAGTATTCAATAGACTGCTAAGGTGACTTGAAAATAAATGGGCCGTTTCATCCTTCTGCAACCCTACCATTGATTGATACATTTTACACAATTTTCATTGTCGGTAATATAAATCTAGTGCTCAGGAATATAAAATTTATTATTATTTAAGACGTGTAAAATTCAAAGCATGACAATGACTGTTTAGTGAGCAGGCAGTGGAGTATTTTACTACGTGACATTCATATAAAGTCAGGGCAGTGGAAAGAAGGAAAGAAGTGAAAAGACAAAGAGGAAAGAGAAAGAAGAAGGATAGACACTTACCAAAAATACAAGGAGGGGTGCCAGGAGGAAGATTTTTCCTCACAAGCATGTTTTGTTTCATAAAAGCAGCAAACTGAGCTGGAATGAATTGGAAAGAAAGCCGAAAGGAAAGTTATAGGAAGAGAAGAGAGAGAGGATGAGAGGAGAGTATTTCAGTCACGTTCCATCTTGCCCTGACAGATATCGTTACGTGATAATCTCGTAAAAATGTTATTTGCCATCATGTTCCTAACTCACATACATCCCGCTTTTGCAAAATTCAGCAGAAGCTGAGGTGAATGACTCACTGTAACAAGTTTACATAAACAAGTGGGGCGAATGTGAGAGCTGTGTACACACAGGTCCCAAAGTTCACAGTGCACGGTTCACAGTTGAGTGCAGTGTGAACTAACCTTGTGCTTGCTTGTGTGTGAGTACTGTGCCAGAGCGCTGCATGTGTGTTTTGAGGAGCTGTGTTGCTGTGATCAGACTGGACTTCTGTGCTGGAGACAGACCAGATGTCTTGGGTTTGGGACTTGAAGTGGGACTGCTACAGACACTAGACAGGTCCTGAGAACACAGTGAAGAGGAGAAACACTGGATGAATAATGATCCATTAAGTCAGTAAACATGCTGACATTGTAAACCTAGTGCTCTTAATGTTCATTAGACACGACACTTAATTTGGACATGGTTGGAGCCAGCCTAAACGAGGTCTGTATATTCCTCCCAAATGCAGACACATTAAAAGGAAAGAAAACATTCTTAACCAAATCACTTCCCAGTGCTTTTAGATATTTTCAGTGATACAAAGTTGGTATGGCACTCAAATTTGAAAATGTGAGAACATGCCATTTCCCTTTTTTATGAAAACACAATGACTTTCGAAACCGCAACCATTTCTGTTATTTTCCATGACTGGACAGCTAGTCTAAAACTACAAAGTAAACAAAGCAATCTTTAGATGTGATGCAACTGTATTCAATTCCATGTAGAAACAGAAATATTATTTAACCTCTTAACATTCCTGTAAAATTCATGCAAAACACCTATTCAAGGCATATCCAAAGTAAATTGAATGTAGTTCTTCAACCATTTGTAGTATATACACATGGTTTTGGGCTTCTCTGAAAGATTAGACTCTGGAGTGTCTAACCCAAAAGTCAGAATGATTGTAAGTGCTACTGGAATTGATTAATACAAGTTTAAAACACACTAAAACTAATATATTTTTCATTTGGGACTTATTAGCTTGAAAACACTGTAGGGACACGTCATAAAGTCTTATCTAGTCCTAGTTTAAATTTTATACCACTACCATGAAAAATTACTATTTTACACAGGTTTTTCTAAGAGTTTTTATTAGTGTATTTTTTCTGAAACAGCTCTGCCCCTCGGCGGCAGGCGGCTGCATCGCTCCGTATCAGCTGGTAGCTTGACGAAGATGTGTTTTTTTTGCTGGTAGACGATGAACTTCCTACTTAAAGTTGGATATCATTATTTTCAGGATTTTATGGCTACACAAAGTGCCGGTCATCGGGACAATTGCTTGCAACTGGCTCGGCCTACCCACGAAATAATAGAGGCTGGCCCTTCCTTACAGCGCGGGCTCTCGTTGGCTATTGTAGGCTGCGAAATGGACATGTGAGCTCCTACTGGGTCGGATTTTGTGACATTCGAAAGGTTATAGTTCAGTGGCTAATTTGAATACAAGATATCGTATTGCTTTACATTCTAATCTGCGTTATTACGGTTATAATGACATATGAGCCACGTCTGCCGGCAAATATGAAACAATAGCGCAGCAGTCCCTGGGGATTTAGTGATGGAATAATGTGTTTTGGACTAAATATTTTTACTGGACTGGATTGTCTGGACCTTTGACAACATAACAAGACCATTTTTGTTGGAATATAATCGATCGGTGGATTACGCTTCATAGGTGAGTCGCATCAATTTTGATTGTACAGGTTGGTCTGACAGAGGCGCTGATACACCTGCTGTGGTGACTGTATATTGAAATAGTTTGCATGGGTTGAATCAAAAGGATTTTAGCTTTCAAACTGTGTGTCATATAAGTATGAAGTTAACATAGCAGTTGTGTGCCCATACCGAAAGCTGCCGCCAGGACCTGACAGCCTGTGGGCCGGCCGTTGGAATGTTACGAGGTTAAAGCACTTGTATAGCAAAATTAATAAATCAAAAATAAGTGACACTTCTATTCCTTTGAAAAATGTTGATAATTTTAGCCGCTGTTAACGGACCTCTGAACCCGATGGTGAGATGGGAACTCGAAGCGCAGGTGAGGAAGGTCGTCCTCTCTCCATGTCAAAGGGAAGCTCCCGTCGAGGCCTTTTCTTCTTCTCCGTGTCCAAATCCCTCATCTCCCCTGAACCATGGCCGTGGCCCTCTGCCCGAGCAAGGACGCCAGACAAGAAGTCAGCTATTTCGTCCTACAGTGATGAAAGAAGAAAATCAACATCATAGAGTTTGTATTCTCAAAAACGTACTACAGATGATGAAACACTCAGAGGAAACAGGGTAAATTGAATATTTACAGTTACCAACCTGAATGCAGCGGTCCACCATGGTCTGCGTCAGTCCCTCTGATTTCATCTTTGCTGAATTGATTCTGTAGAGGGAGGTCATTTAGTATTACTATTACTACTGAATGACATTTGAATTTTATACCTTTTAAGAAATCTTTTGAGACCCTTTCCAAAACTCATCACAGATTGGAGTTGAATGAATTGAGTTCCATTAGTCCTTTTACAAATCCAATGCAAGATATATTAGGTTTTATCTTTTCCAGGCAAACACCGTGGCTGTTTCTGAATCTGGGATGATCACAATTTGAGTTGATGGATTGGTTTTTGCTCCTCTGTTGAGACCATGCAACCTTTGAGTGCAGTGTTGCCCTGGCGCCCATCATTACTCAGAGGTCAGCGGTAGATGATGAAGCGGTGGCTGTAGCTTCAGCAGCGGTGAGTAGGGACATGGTATAGCACAGTAATGTGCGACAGATACCCGATTTATCAACTTTTAATACTTTTTAAGACCCCATGCACCCTGATTAAAATCTGTATACTCAGCAGGAAAGAATACAACATATGATTTCTTGCGAATCGTAGGCCGTGACTTACCTGAGGTTGTCATCTGCTCCTCCCACCACCACCATGCTGTTGTCTGCCCTCAGCTTCTCTCTGAGCTCCTCCATGCCTTCTATGCTACACTGCAGAGCATTCTGTCCGACCACAAACAACACTGGGGTCTTCATGTCCAGCAGCGGGTCATCCACATCCTGCAAACCAGTAATACATTAATATTCATTAAACTTCTGACAGTTCAATTTTCTAAATAGAAATAATGAAATAACAGAAAAAGAAAAATGCATATCACTAGAAGATAATGCCTTAGGTCTTACCCCTCTTGGCCCGTTGACTGTTTGCAGGGGGAAGCCGAGACACACCACAGCGGTCAGGTACTCCATAAGGGATACCTGTAATTAATCAGTATTTAACTGACTAATGATGCTTTAAAGAAAAGATGATCATTTGCATTTTTTTCATGGGTAAAAACCATTAGCCTCACATTAGATCAGTATGATACATGATGACAAGTCTTACGTGACAAGCGATGAGAGCACCAGCGTTCCAGCCAACCAGGATAATGGGTTTGTGCGGGAAGTGACTGTGAACCTGGTGATTACATTTATAAAAACATAATCAATACAGCTGCAGACACATCATGTCCAAAAAAAAAAAATTAAACAATACAGAATCTGTATCCTATATGGTTCTATTTTGCCTTCAGCGACATGTTGTGTTATTCAAGAGACATTTTAACACAATATAGTAAGTTTGTGGCTTAATGTGCACATCCTGAGCAACGAATAAGAAAGTACACTGCAAGGGCTAAAAAAGGCTGAAGAATGAAAGAATTAATTATTTTACAACAGCGACTTAAACTCAAACCCAACCTGATAAAACCAAATGCTGCTGTCCAGTAAGGCCACAGGGGTAACATCTAAGCAAGAGCATGTTTTGCTAATTTGGCCGTCTTTTAAACTATTTTGAATGTGCACATCAACTACATGAATTTCACAAAAAACTTCACTATAACACTGCAACCACAGATACCAAATAGTGCCAAAAGGAAAAAGAGCATCCTACCTCCATTACCTTGGCCCTGACAGTGCCCAACATGTGCTCTAGGCACTGTGTGATGCCAATATTTGCTCCACTGCTCACATGGCTGTGCACTGGGATGACCTGATATAGAAACAGCTGTTATAGGCACTGTGATTCATAAAAACACAGATTTATGGTAACAAAGAGATTTAACTAAGAGAGACTTAGGACCTTTCCCAAACAAGAGAGCTGCGACTGCCAGAATCTCATTCGCCGCGAGGTAGCGAGGGCAGGATTAGTTGGGCTTGATGGTGCAATTAGGATGAGTGGGGATCCAGGAAGCTTGCTCTGAAACATTTAAAAAAAAAAAATCGATCTGGTCTTTAACTGTTATAGATCATAAAGAACAAAGTAAACCAAGTTGTACAGAAAAATGCTTTTCAATACAAACAGCGTGAATGCTTTAGTATTACCGGTTTGTTTTGAGATAAGACTCCAACAGCTGGGTCCCAGGGCCGTTTCAGTAGCAGTGACAGGGCCTCTGCACTTGGAGCGCCAGTCTTTGCAGATGTCAGCAACATTCTGTCAATCAGCAAGGGCAACTTCCAAGACACAAAGAGGAATACTATGAATCAAGAATCCTAGAGCTTGCCGATACTGGAGCAGACATCTGACAGGAATTACAGACCAATTCTTACTCTTCACTTAATTACACACATCATACCTTGCTTTTGAGAGTCTGCAGCACATCCAGGTAAGCAGCAAGCATGGCGAGGCTTAAGGATTCAATCATGGTAGTGTGCAACCACTGCGTCAGTTTGGTGTCCCAGTTCACACTGGCTAATGCATGCCGCACCTTCCTGGCACACTTGTCCACAGCTATCCTTCGCAAAATAGGCTCATTGGAAGCCTAAGAGAAACAAGATCACACGAGACACCCTGTAACGTTTCAATAATTTTGAACTGAATTATTGAGAATGTGCCTTAACTTTAAAAATGCGAAACTCAAAATAGCAGATGTTTTCAAATTTTGCTACATGGTGGTTTATCAATAAATTCCACACATGATTTACCTTTGTCTCCACAAGCCCATCAAAAGATAAACAGTTACAATACTGATTTTGGCCAGTATAAAATTACCATTACCATTTTAGAATCTTATTACTGATCTACTCTCTTACTTGAGGGTTTGTTGCAAGACCAAAACAAAACGGTGCTTTCAGTAAACATATTGTACTGGGTTTTTTTCTCTGGCGAAATTCATAAAGGGTGCTGAAAAACCTTCAAAAATCTGAACAGAATAAGACCAAATAAGCACTACTTACATTTTCATTGGCCAGGCGGGCTAGTCTCTCAGCTTGCAGAGCTTTAAGTACTTTATTGAACAATTTGTTCTGGGCCACTGACCATCCAGTCCTGAAAAGAAATAATGATGTCAAACAATGCACTGTAACTGAGATATGTTCAATCATAACTTCTATTCTCAATGAAAACAAGTGTCAAGTAAAACAATAGATAATAATTGAACAGTGGATTGTTGCAGATGTTTGATTACTTGTTTATATGTTCCTCCCAGTCTTCCGGGGGTGGAGGACTCTCAGCAACCGTGCGAGCAAACAGAACGTGCCGCTCACACTCCTTCATCACACTAAGAGCTTTCTGATTATCATACAGAGGAACGGGTGTCGGTGTGACAGTTTCCACATCTATTACAGAATCAGTGTCTCTGCATACAAGGAAAGAAGATTGATGTTACTGTAAGGCAGCAAGATAGTTACTAAAGCTAAGAAACAGAGCGGGAGGCTGATGACGGTCCCGAAATGTAGTCTAACATGTAGTTCTGTTAGAGATTATGATTAGGCGCTTTTTGACTCACGACAAGGCTTCAGGCTGGCGACGAGGGGTAACAAAGAGTGTTCTTGTGGGCCGGGCGCTGCTGGCATCTGGATGGGCATTCCATGGCTTGGCATAGCTATGGTCCAGAAATACCAAATCCAGCTCTCTTTCATGAGCTGACAGCTGGAAAAGCAAGGATGTGCCCATCTTTCGTGCTGATACCTGGAAGTCCTTATCCCCACCACGATGCATCGTCTTCCTGGGCCCCAAAGGGCCCTGGGAAGAGCTCAACAACTTGTGTGGATTCAGACGTAACTGGCAAAGAGGAGATGAAATGTATTATTTAAAGGCTGACCCCCCCCCCCCCAACAAATTCCTTTCCTTTTCAAGGAACCATATAATGTGTTGAACATAATCTAGACCTGAAAAGTTGACGGGCAACAATTCCTACAACAGACTGAACGTTTACTGAACAGTGTAAAGAAAACATGTCTAAAAACAACAAAATTACCAGTCATAATGAAATATGCTGTTTACAAACTATACTATAGCAAATTACACATCTCTGGGTTTCAGCCTGCTGGTCAAAACAAGACATTTCCAACGTTTCCTTGGAAAGTGATAGACATCATTCAATATTTTTGTGAATTTCTACTGACTAAACGACTAATCGCTTAAATAACCAGCAGATTAAATGATAAGATAAACATTCGTTAGTTACAGCAGACGTTCACACATGCAGGTGCTTTGTCTACGTTACAGTGAGCACCAACCATTGACGTTACTGCAATGTACAGTATGTTGTTAGCTTAATATAACATAAATGACCTGCTCTGGGTTGAATATCACTTTTAAACCAAACATTAGCACATTGATTGAATGTGATAATAATTTACGTGGCGATCAGCCCAACATTTGCCATTTGTAAAAGGACTAACGATGCTGGCCTGGCATGCTAACGTTAGCATAGCAAGCTAAAAGCTAACAGAATGGCGCAATCGCTGTGTCCAGCTGCTCACCTTTTCGCTCTACAACTCCATGTTTGTACTGTCAGTTGAAACTCTTGTTCAAGGCCAAAGAAAGACGTTTTTTCTTGGAAAGTCCTAAGGCTTATATAAAACACAAATATTTAGTGCGTAACGTTAGCTTTACAAGCCTCACTTCCTTTTGTTGTGTGATTTGTTGCCATGTTAGGCTCCACCTCCCTCCTTCTCAGAGCACTAAAACAAGAACTACAGCAAGGGCTACATTTCAACCAAACTGGCAACCTAGTTTATGGCGCGTCAGTGAGTGACGCAAAACATGGACTGGATCAGGGTCTAGATCATTTACTCCCTCTACAAAAACACTCGATATGCCTGTGAATTGTCTTATTCACTTTAAATGCGCTATAGGATATTTCATGCACTAAAAATCGACAGAAGAGGAGACTTTAGGTAGGTAGGTAGGTAGATTTTATTGTCACAATTCAACAAGTTGTAGAGTGAAATTGAGTTTTGTAACTCCCTTTTGGTCAATGTGTGGCCCTGCGATGGACTGGCGACCTGTCCAGGGTGTACCCCGCCTTTCGCTCAATGTGAGCTGGGATTGGCTCCAGCCCCCCGCGACCCTGTACACAGGATAAGCGGTTGACGATGGATGGATGGATGGATGGTAACAGAAATAAACTATAATCACTGGAGTACTGCTGAGGATGAGTTTAAGAGTCTGATGGCTTGGGGAAGGTAATCTTGATGGTGATCCTGACTGTGATTTTCAGTGTTTATTGCCTATTTCAAACAAAATTGTCTTTATTAATATGTTATTTAATTTGGAATATGTTTCAAAATGCTATTTAGTATTAATGCTAACACTGACCTGAATTAGCCTACCTTTATTGTTGAAGGAAAGGGAGTATGAAATCTGTTACACCAAAGCATTTTGCTGTTAATTCTTGTAAAAGTAGACATGATAATGAGGAAATATATTTTGAAATCTTAACATTAACCTATTTTTAAAATGATTTGTCTTTGTTGTACATGGTAGTCTATGTTGTGTTTGTTTTTCTTTTAAGACAAATATAATCAGTGTGACCTCTTCCAGTTAACGGACCACCCCTACCCTCCCCTTATTTAACTCCAAAGGTCCCTACAGATAGGCTACACATTTAAAAGAGAGAGCCCTTCATAAAAAATACAGTGTTTTTAAAAGTCTTGCCTGAACACAGCTCAGACCAGACACGTTTGACTGCCACGATGGTGAGTTTTAAAATTGCTGAGTAACGAAATTCTCGTTACAATTGTTTGATGATAGCTGTTTTGGTGGGGTAAAGTATAATGCCAAAGAGAGTTGTTATAAAATTTGATAATAATTAGTTTTGACTCATCTTATGGCATGGACCCTAAGTCATGTTGTCAAAATGGCAACAGAATGATTCATCTGAGTTTTAGAGATATGATACACTGTTTAACTTTGGAGTTTCCCTGCTTTTTGCCAAATGCATGCTAGGACAAATATCCTGATTCAGCATGCTGAGATCAAATGTTAAGACTTGATGTTTGTTTCTATTTTCCTATGAAGAAATATTTGGCTGTGGCTTTGCTGCTTTGTGCTCTGGCGTCACTGACAAACGCTCAGTGCTTCCAAAATCCCATAAAACCAGGTGAAAGAAAAGGAGAAAAAACACAAACAGTATATTTATGGTTTATACACACAAGTTTTCTTTATCAGAGTAAAATCAAAACAGTCACACATGATGCAACATTATGACCACTTTACCACTTTTTGTTCCACCAATAGACATGACCCATTGTCAGGACAATGTGGATAACACGTGGCATGCAGTAGGATCTTCATGGAGGAACAGTGCATGTTGGGACTGTACTTGCACTGGATGTTGTGCTGGGTAAGTACACAGATCAAAACATTTTTGTTTGTTTTTTATGATAAGAAAATGTGTTCATCTCTGTATTCTTACTGTATGTTTACTGTGTGATTGCAGATTTTCAACCCCCAGGCAGTTCCCTGACGACTGTGTGTCAGAGTTTGATGCAAAGAGGTGTGAATACATTGTGCATAAGAAGAACGACCCAACCATACTTTGTCCAATTTATAGTGCCGTAGGAAAGTGACTGAGTGATCTGAGTGGAAAACTGCCTGTTGTGTTGGTTGGAACACAAGACCACACAGTGGCCAGAAACTGAAAATAAAATACTGCTAACAATGAAATTTCAAATTAATAATTAATAATTTCTTCATGATTTCCTCCTTTTTTCATATCTCTCTTTGTACGAGGGAAAGGAGAATTTCTGGTTACATGTCAAGGAACATTGATAAATAAAATGGCTTTCAAGTTTGTACATTTTTTACACATGGCCTACATTACAAACTGAGGTAGTGGTGATTAAAAGATTTTAGGCATTTAGGAGACAGGGGCAGTCTAACAAAAGACGCTAATCGGTTGCATTTTGAAAAATGTAGGATCCAGTGTTTATGGAGCTTGACCCATACTGTGGGCATGCTAACATTTGCTAATTTAGCGTCCTCAGCCAAAGTATTGGACAAATTAGAAATTTGACCAGATGATGAAAGAAGTTAGGGGATCACCTAAGTAATTACAATTCATCTTGAGGGGAACATGAATGTGTGTATCAAATTGCATGGTTATCCATCCAACAATTGTTGATATTTCACTCAAAACCAAAAATGTAACCTCATGCTGGCACTAGAGGAATAGACAGGGGATCGCCAAAGTCATTATGATACATTTTCTAGGAAACATTTATGTTCTGTGTTTATGTACAAACTTTCATGTCAATCCATCAAAGTCTAGATATTTCATTCTGGAGTAAAGTGGTGGATTGACCAACCCACAGAGTGATTTTGCTGCGATGTACTCTGGTTGACAAACGCTCAGTGCTTCCGTGCGGCCATGAAACCAGGTAAAAGAAAAGGGGGAAAAAAGCATAACAGTATATTTATGGTGTATACACACACGTTTTCTTCATTAGAACAATATCAAAACATTCACACATGATGCCACATTGTCACCAGTGAGTAACCTCAATGTCTGACATATTTTTTATTTTTGTTGGAGTTGTTGTACTGGGGAGAGAGAGGCATGTAGATGTGATCCCTCACTGGCTTCTTTCCAGGAAACACTGCCTGTCGTGTTGGGTGGAACACATGAACAATCAGGGAGCACTGCTGTCGGAAATTAAAGAATAAAATATTGCTACAAATGAAATTTCAATGAATAACATTTTTTTCATGATTTACTCCTTTTTACATAACTCTGTGTGAGAAAGAAAATACATAATTAGAAACAGATGATCCACAGAAAAACTAATAACTAAAAACAGTCAGTCAAGTCTCAACAGAATGGTGTGAGGCTTGCTGCTTATGTTTAGGTAAGGACAGCAGTTTCTTGAAAAATTGCCTAATATCATTGTTTATTCAATATTGATATTTTTTGCGCTTTTAATGAACATAATTTCATATACGTTCTTGATAATCGCAGACTAAACACCATGGCTTGACAGAGGAGGCGAGGCCATGAGCGAGTCAAGGAGCTGCGGCTAACTCAGACATGTTACATACTGTATATTATATTGTTTGATTTCTTTCCGTTATTTTGTCCATACACCTTTTATGCCCCAAACAAGTGAATGTATACTGGATGCAGTTTCCCTTGCCCTTTGTTGATCAACAAACATTTATTCTTCTAACTGACTGTGACAGCAGTTGTGATGGGCAGGGGGCAGCCAACAGGGACCTCTCTGTGATAAACATGTTTTGGTGTTGCTGTCCCAGTGACTAGAAAAAACTTATGGGATCAAAAGCATGAACTACAAATAAATACATCTATAATGTAAGAGTTTAATGCAAAAAAGAAAGACAATGAAAAAAAGACAACTTTTTAACAAATAACCAATGCCAATCTTTCTGTATGTCTCTTGCAAAGAGCCTGAGGTGCACAGCCGGGGTCTGAGGATCTGTCTGAAAACACACAAATAAGTCGCATTACATTCCATTAATTTCATGGCAGTGAATCTGGAGCTCTGCACATCTTCATTCAATTATAAGAAGTTGAGCATTTTTCCAATGACAGAATGTATGTGTTTTATGTAATGTGCTAGATCAAACAAATAAATTGATAATCAATAGAGGATCTCACGCGCTAAATTAGTTTCTTAAATGTCTTAACCTTTAACATTAAATATTTGTCACCCTATTTTACTGGCATCAAGTTATGTATATAAGTTATATATATATTATTATTTCATATTCAGCTGACTTGCAGTTTGGTTCTGTTTAATTAACTGGTATTCAGTCTTTTCATTCTGTGATTAAAGCCTGGGTTCAGCATTTTGTCTGGTCATTAACAACTATATTTCAAAAGTTTTTCAAATTGAATTCTGATCATTCATTCTGATTGGTTATTAGAGTTAATTTAGTGTGCTTATAATAAATGTTCCCATATATCATTGTAGCATGTTCATGTTTTTTGCAGAGTAAGTAAATTATCACTGATTCAGATTCATGTCAAAACAATTAAATGAATAAATGAAAATCTTTCAGGTATGTTTCTTAAAATAAGCTGGTGCTAAGGGTTTTATTATACTATTATTGTGCTCTAAACCATTATATATTATTATACTCTGCCTCTTAGGAGAGATGGCTTTTACAGAACAATCTCAAGTTTGGCATTATGATGACTTGTTTGTTATATATTATAAATATGAGTAGGAGCTCTTTTGTTTTTTGTTTTTTATGAGCTGCCAACAGTAGAAATGCTAAAAGTAATTGTGTCATTAACAGATTAGTATTGATAAGTGATTTATGGGGATCACAGTGATGACATAAACATAGGACCAGTGGTGGAAGAAGTACTCACTTAAGTAAAAGCAGCAATACTGCTCTGTAAAAATACTTCTTTTGCTCTTAATCTTTTGCCCTTTCAGAGAGATATTTTATCAGCAGCATTTTAAATAATGAATGCATTGATGTGTAATGTTTCAACTGGTGGAGGTGGAGCACAAGTGAACTATATGTATACTGTTGGATTACAGCTTAATCTATAGCAAATGGAGTAAAAAGTACAATTTTTCACTCTGAAATGCAAGGCAAGGCAAGTTTATTTGTATAGAACATTTCAACAACAAGGTAATTCAAAGTGCTTTAAATAAAACATCAACGCAACAGGGAAATATAAAAAAAGTTTAAAAGCAACATAGGGAAATTGAAAAAATACACGTTAAAATATAATAAAAGTTACAGTGCAGTGTACAATCAGGGTTAAAAGAGTTAAATGGAAAATAAAAACAGGCTGAGGGGTTGAGCAAATAATTGAGTTACAATTATTAACAGAGAATAAACAGAGAAGTACACTTAATCTACTCTCTCTAGCTAGTTTGTATTCGGGTCCATAGCAATCTTTGGGTCCACTGTAACTCCAAAAACCCTCGGACACTACAGAGAAACCAGGACATGTCTGTCCGCAGGCCACTTTGATCCAGTTATACTCTGGACCCACAGGCGCGAGATTTAAGATCACTCTGTTCAATCACACTCACATTATCTTTTCACTCAACTACCTACTCATTTCTCACCGTGTAAATATTTAATTAACAAGCAATGGTAAAAAGCTAAAAACAAAGTAAAAGAAAACAGGACATCTACTAGTAAAAGGCTGTGGTAAAAAGAAAAATCTTAAATATTTAATTAAAAGCTATGGTAAAAAGAAAAGTCTTCATTTAAAAGAACTGACAGTTTCGGCAGACCCGCAGTTATCTGGGAGTTTGTTCCAGATATACGGAGCAGAATAACTGAACGCTGCTTCTCCTTGTTTAGATTTGACTCTGGGGACAGAAAGCAGACCTGCCCCAGACGACCTGAGAGGTCTGGATGGTTCATAAAGCAGAAGATCAGAAATATATTTTGGCCCTAACCATTTAGTGCTTTATAAACTAACAGCAGGATTTTGAAGTCAATTCTTTGACATGCAGGAAGCCAATGTAAAGGCCTCAGAACTGGAGTGATGTGATCCACCTTTTTGGTCTTAGTGAGGACTCGAGCAGCAGCGTTCTGAATCAGCTGCAGCTGTCTGATGGATTTCTTAGGGAGCCCTGTAAGGACACTGTTACAGTAGTCGAGTCGACTGAAGATAAATGCATGGATTAGTTTTTCCAGGTCTTGCTGAGACATAAGTCATTTAATCCTTGATATATTCTTCACGTGATAGTAGGCTGACTTTGTAATTGTCTTAATGTGGCTCCTCAAATTCAGGTCTGAGTCCATGACTACACCAACATTTCTGGCTTGATTTGTGGTTCTTAACATTACAGACTGAAGCTGAGCACTGACTTTCAATCTTTCCTCCCTGGCTCCAAAAACAATAACTTCAGTTTTATCTTTGTTTAATTGAAGAAAATTCTGGCACAATTCTGGCTCAATCCAGTTACTCAGCACTTATGGGAGTATGGGATCATAGTCCCATGGTGAAATAGTTATGTAAATCTGTGTGTCATCTGCATAATTATGATAACATATTTTGTTGTTTTTCATAATCTGAGCCAGTGGAAGCATGGAAATGTTAAACAAAAGAGGCCCCAGAATGGAGCCTTGGGGAAAGTAGTCCCTGTCCTTTAAGTAGGATTCAAACCAGTTTAGTGCTGTGCCAGAAAGTCCAACCCAGTTTTCAAGTCTGTCTAGTAATATGTTGTGGTCGACCGTGGCAGCACTGAGATCCAATAATACTAAGACTGAAATTGGATGTCACTGAAGACCTTAACAAGAGCTGTCTCAGTGCTGTGGTGTGGTCGTACACCTGACTGGAAGACATCAACACAGTTATTTAGTGCCAAGAAAGCACTAAGCTGTTGAAAAACAGCCTTTTCAATGATTTTACTTAAAAATGGGAGATTTGATATGGGCCTATAATTAATTAGTGACCTGTCTAGATTGCTCTTTTTTAAGAGTGGCTTAATGACTGCAGTTTTCAGGGCCTGTGGGGAAAAACCTGTGAGGAGAGACATGTTTATAATTTGTAGTAGATCTGAGGCCATGCATTTAGACACATTTTTGACAAAACCTGTTGGCAGAATATCAAGGCAGCATGAGGAGGATTTCAGACGTTGTATTATGTCCTCCAGGTTTTTATGGTTAATAGAATCAAATTGTCTCATGCTATATGAATTGTTTTTAAGCGGACACAGGAACAAGACATATCCTGTACCTGATATGGAGGCACTGATTGCTTGTCTAATTGTTTGAATTTTGTCTGTGAAGAAGGAAGCAAATTCACTGCAGGCCCTGGTGGATAGAAGTCCATTATTAGTGTTTTTGGTGACGATGTCGG